TTTGTTTTTTCTAATAATTGATTAATTTTTTATTTAAATTATATAATTATTATATTTACAAATAAATAAATTATTTAAAAGTTATGATCATAATTTATGAACAATATTTAAATATATATTTTTTCCTTTTAGATAATCGTACTTGAAATTTCCTGTGTATGGCATAAACTATGATTATCATTAATATTTTAATATTTTATTTATATTTAATATATTTCTTACAAAATATTATAACACAATATTCAAGTATGACCATTATAAAGAGCCAATTTTATAAAGAATATTATACTGCTATAATAAATGTCATTATTGTTATAAGTAAAATTTTATCACAGAGAAATAAAATATATCATGAAAAATCAATTTTGAAGAAAATCATACAATCATATTAAACTGTCATTATAACGAATGATCGTTATAGAAACATTGAACTATATCACTTAAATCTATTTATTATTTTTCACCAACCTCTCCTATTACCCCCTCATCCCCCAAAAACCTAGTCACCCCCAACCACCCACCCACCCCACCTCCACCCCCACACCCTCCATCTCCCTCACTCACGTGAAATGGTTGTATAATTATGCGTGGAGACATGATTTTCTTGATAAACTTGTTACTTCACATGTGTGCTACATAACTAGTGTGGTGAGTGGTGACTATAAAGTAAAAATCTCTTTCTCCATCTCTACGAGTTTTGCAGTGTTTCGTGGATCCTAAGTAGCGGAAACAGTGACGGATCTAGATTATAGTGTATAAATTTTTGAAAATCAGTTATTTTATATTGAGAGACCTATCGAGAACACTCTTAAACTAGGCATAAATAATTAGTTTTATCTTCAAATTATTGATAACTTTAAAAACATCTTTTTACTTGACTAATTGAATTTAAATACATCTCTCGATTTTGTAATATGAGTGAAATACACCCCTAAATTCTCGTCAAGTTTAGGAATATTTTCAACACTGCTCTCACATTTTTATTAAGAGTCTCATGCCCTTACAAGAGTACTTTGAGACCACTTGCTATGTCACGTGGCAGATCGAAGGTGATTGAGGATGTATCTAAGTATAGTTAGTTAAGTAGAGAGATGTTATTAAGGTTGTCAATAGCTTGGGGACGAAACAAATAATTTGTGTCAAGTTCAGGGGTGTTTTTTAACACTTCTCTCTTTTTATTATTTTATTAAATATTCATGAATATATAACAGTATACTTAATTATTATTATTTATTGATTTGACATTATTAACTTATTATAAAAATTCATAGATTTAAAATCTGAAATCCATTTAAAATTTACATAAATCTTGCAAGGGATTTTTCTTCTTTATTTCTTTTTCTTCTTAAAATTACTGTTCTTTTTTTCCCCTTTTCTGATTTTGGCATACAAAATAGTTTGGGGAATATTAAGCACCCGCAAAATTTAGGTGTCTAACTGAAAGTTCGAAACAAGTTTAAGGGATTTATTTTAGGTATAATGTACAAATATACTCTTTAACTGGATATCAGTTTACATTTATATTCTTTAATTTTGAATGTGCACAACTAGACACTTAGACATGTATAAAATTGAATAAATAGACACATTTGCCCCTATGTGACAATTTGGTGTCCTACGTGGTGTTCTATATGTGTTATGTCATGTAAAATATGTGTGTCTATTTGTTTAATTTTATATAAACTTAAGTGTATATTCATGCACGGTCTAAAAAAAGGCTTAATGCAACAATATACATAAATCATTGTCCAGCGATTAAATTTTAAGTTGAGAAAACAATTTCTTACATAAATAAATAATACTTGATAAAAATATATATTCATAAATTGAACTGATTGATCCTTTAGAGATCTTGTCCACTAAAATATATTTTTTAGTACATAGAACGTTGAAGAAGTATCTCTTATTCCAAGAAGTAAAATGATTTGGACCACAATATTATTTTTAAGGATGAGGACCATAATATAAATCATTACGAATAAAATAAGTCAACCTAATCACTAATCAACATAGAAGTAACTAGAATTAGTGCATACCAAACAATATTCATTAATCAAGCATTTTTTGCAAATCACTAAATTTTTTACTAATATCATCTTTTCTTATAGCAAATAATTTTTTTTGAACAAAAGGCAAGCATTTTCTTTTCAAAATATTAACATAGATCCCTAAGCAGACATCGAAAAGAGGGCGAAAAGAGTCTATTTACCTATTTATTCCCTAAAAAATTATTATTTAAGTTGTTAAATTTTAATTATTAATATTTTATTTATAAATTAAAAGGAATAAAGGTGTGATTCTTTTGACTCTATTCTCTCACCCCACCACTCTCATGTATTCTGAATTTAAAAACTTAAACGAATAACATAGAAGCCTTTTCATATCTTATTTCTATAATATATATTATATAATTATTAAATGACAACACTGTTTAACCAATTCATAATCATAGGACTATAATAACATAAATAAACAAAAAAGTAAGGATTATAATATTTGTGCATATATATTAAAATCGATGATGACGCCCTAGATGATGAAAATGCACCTTATTTTTATAATCATCAAATTGGAAGTTGGGAAAATCAATGTTTCACATCTGGATCCATTAATTAATTAATTAATTTAATCTTAACGATGATTTAGGGTTTTAAGCACAAGCATCAAGATATTTTTTTCTCTTACCTAGTACAATATTCTGAGTGGAAAATACTATTAGGGGAAAGATGTAGTACAATTAAATTAAATACATTTTTAATTATGTTGTCCTTTAGGGTTTGGGTTAAGTCCCTCTCACCGTAATAGCCATGTCTGACTGTTTTTAGTCATGACTGTGATATTTCATTGTACACTATTTGAAAGTAATTAAATATATGTGTTTATCGTTCAATAGTTAATTCAAATATGTCATTAATTTAACTAGTTGGGTAATAAGCAAAAAAAGGGGTTAAATATGTTTTTAAATTGTGTAAAATCGAAATCATTAATTGAGGCTGGCTCTAGTTAAATTAAGAACATATTTACGACAATTATTTAACGATAGTCGATAAGAGCATATGTAAGCTAACTTATTAACTATTGATATGTCTATTAAATTTTAAATACTTTAAGGATATATTTTTACATTTTTTAACATATACCAAAAGTAATATTAAGATTGTATTTTCAAATATGTCATCACAAATTTAGTAGCTATAAAAGTATGTGGATATATATGGACAAATTGATAAATTCAATTTTAATTTATTTTTATTATTTTTGAAACAAACTAGAATGTACTTATTAATGTTGCCCTTCCTCATTAATGTTGTACTTGGTACATTTTAAGGGTTTTACTTATAATAAATCAACCACTGCTAGTCATTAAAAAGGTTCTTAGAAGTGTTGGGAATTTAGTGTGCATCTTTTGTACTTGCCAAATAATTCTTTTGCTATGCTACTTGTTCCATTTGCTTAATACTCTTTCAGTCTACTTTTGATTATTATAGTTTTTTTAGAGTCAAATAATAAGAACTTTGATTAATATTTCACGATGTAATTTTTCATTATATTGATATGCAAATGATTTCATTTTATAGTACTTTTCGTATAGTTTTGGACTATCTAAATTTTTTGTTTAAAATATTGAATTAATGTAATCTAATTAAACTTTAAAAATTAATCAAATTGACTTTCGAAAAGCACAATATGACAATTAAAGATGGATCGAGAGAGTACTTATATAATTAAATAAATAGGAAATGATGAGAAATGTTTTTAAAATATGTGAAATTTGATAAAAATGTTCTTGTTAATATAGTTTATTTAAAATGTTTTCGTTGTTAATACATCGGTTCAAAAATGTGCATATCATTAATATTTTGATCTAAAAGTATTTCTACTATATTTTCTTTTAAACACATTATTTTCTAACTAAAGTATTACTTTAAAGAATTTTTTTCTTTTAAAATCTCTTCAATTAATATAAAAGTGGAAAGTAAAACTTTTTTCTTTTTAATATCCTTTTATGAATTAAAACAAATTACTTCATATATATTTTTTCAAATTGATGTTGTAGGTCATATATATATAAAAGATCATAGTAATCTCATCATTAAATTTTATTTTAGATAATGATAAACGGAAATTCTAATAAAATATTTTTTTTATTTCTTAATCTTTTTCAAATTGTAAGATAAATATTTGATAGAAAATTCCTCAATTTTGAAAGTTATTACAAAAGATTCAAGAATAACTCTATCAATAATATTTTGTGATTTGAACTTTGAATCAATGTAATAATTTTTTTTATGTTATGAAATTATGATTATTGTATCTTAACTTCAAAGTCAAGGATTATATTAGTAAAACATTATTATTCTTTAATTCAAAAATATTAAGAAATAAAAATATTTCCTATTTTATTAAGAGTATAAAATTTATCCTTATCTAAATGAAAGTTAATTAATGATGAATCATTATGATCATATACACATAAAAGTTAATGATGAATTACGATATTATTATGATAAAGATTGTGTTTAGAAGAGAATAGATGATATGTTTATTAAAATTGAGCATTTTCTTTTTTACCTAAAAGTAACAATAGATGTAGTTTGGACTTTGGACCAAAGTACTAAGTATTAATGGTAAATATATTTTTAGATAAAACAATTAGCGGATGATATTTTTGTTTAATTTCACATAATTTAAGAATATTTTTTACCATCCTTTTTAAATAAAGTGTTATCTTCTTTCCTTTGCAAAAATTATAACCAAATAAAACTTTAGCATCAACTTCAACTTTATAAATATTAAATAAAATAAAAGATATTTAAATTTTATGGTCAAACGTCTGCTAAATTTAATTCGAGGTGCGAGAATTGAATCCAAAGAATCTAAATTAAATTTTACCAATAAGAAGAATTTAACAAAAATAAAAAGAATAAAAAGGTTACACTTAACTTTTCCAAAAGAGTTGGAATTTCATTCCAACATATATATACTACCAATATAATCTGTTTGTTTATGTTTTGAGAGTATTAATAATCTCAACATTAATTAATTTTACTGTTTACAAAGATTGATAAAAGAACATGAAGAAATTAATTAATGGTCAAGAAGGTCTCATAAAATTATGATGGAAGCCATTATTTTGAGACCAATTTTGAGTTCTTATTATCTGCTGGGGGAATCCTGATGATGCTGCAGCAGTTGTAATTATCTCATAATTAGGGTGCCATTCTTGAGAATTACTTGTTGCCCCAATTTGGCCTACATTATTGTTGCTCGGAGTCTGAACCTGCCCGTTGATACATAATATAATTAAGTAATTGATTTTTTAAAAATAAATTAATGATTAGCTTTTTTAAATAAAATGATCACAAAATTCAATATGATATTAGATCGAGGTTTAAATCAAAATATTTTTGACTTACTCTTTAGTTGATTTGATCACAAGGTGTACAATAATTGTATCAAAATCATTTTTTAAATATGGTTTAAGGTTTCGATACATTCATAAAAAAAATAAAAATTTAATAGTATTAAGTAATAATTAGGGTCAAATAATCCTTTTTATCTCTTCTCAAAATGAGAACCAATAGTTGAGGGGTTTAATAAATTGTATAGATCATTTATTAGAGTAAGGATAGATTTTAACAAAACAAATTAATTATTACATTTTCGGGGCTGCCTTGGTTATACATTGAATTGATTTTTTGAAAAAAGGTTTTGAAGATGAGTTTCAAATTTAAAAAGTGATTTTCCAAAATTTTCAAGATAATTTTTTTCTCAACTCACAGATATTTTTTTCTCTCTAAATATCAATTTGTAAATATCTTTTTTCAACTATTTTAATTTTTTTACTTATCCTCAAGTATAATTTTTCTTAATGTCCAAACACCTACTAATTGGTTTCTTAAAACAACACTTATTTTTATTGGTTAAAATGCCATTTTTTGTAAAATAATCAAGGATAGTATTTTACAATAATTTGGATAAGTTAATAAAGAAAAAACATGAAAGCCATAAAATCCAACTATTTCTCTTTATAATACATATGTTATTATAACGATATAAGTTTTCTTCAAAATTATTTTTCTATCTTATGTTATATTATATGTTTTATAACAACATTTTGTATAGCAATCAAAAAATATTTAAACGATATTATTATAAGAAAAATGAAAACTCACTTGATATGAATTGAATTGCCGGGGATAGGCTTGAACCATATGTGTTTCACCATCTCTAATAAATTGGCCAAACCTTTGCATTTCATTAATATTTGGTTGCACTCTGCCTGACGAATTAAGGTGCGTTTGGCTCAAGAGTTGCAATGTTTCAGTCTCATTATATCCACTTCTTTTTTGGCCATCAAAATTGATTTGGCTACGTGGCTAAAGGAAATTTAAAACACGAGGGTACTCGATTTCAATAAGTACGACAATTTAAAGAAAAAAAAAGCATGTACAAACATTAGACATGATGCAAATTTGAAATGTTGAAAATAAAGTTGTCAATTGTCTGAACTATGTTTTTCTACATAGTTGCAAGGAATTAAGGTAAGCTATGTTATGTATTCCTTCTGTCTCAAATTATCTGTCGTGTTTCTTCTTTTACATGCTCTTACATAAAACATTAATTAGGAGAGATTCTTTATTATTTTACCATGTCTTAAAATAATAATTTCTTTTTATTAAACACATTTATTTTACTGAAGTATTTATAGCTTTCAAGAACGTAATTATCAAGGATAAAAATAGTAAAGAATATTAATTTTATCTTAAAATTTTAAAATAATAAATAATTTAAAATAATTATTTTCAAAAATCACGATAGGTAATTTCAGAAGTATGTATGCACCTTGTTAAGCCTTGATGACCCTTGGTGGCCCCAATGGACATCCAATTGCAAATTAGATGAAGAATTTTGACCCCTATTGTCCCCCATTTCTTGGCTTGAACCTCCTAAGCTTAAGTCAAGATTGTGGTCCGCTGCATTATCACTACATTCTGAAGAAAAAAAATGCACATTTATCAATGTTACGTAGATTTAACTTATATATATTGACGATATGTTAGAAACGTCGATCTGATAGAGAGCAAATAAATTAAAGAAAAATGTAATTTTACCGGTTGAGTTAACTTCATTTTCATAAATGCTACGATCAAAGTTGGTAACTGCATCTTTTCCATTACACTTGATAGCAGCTTTATCATAAGATCTGTTAAAGAAGAAAGAAAAAAGTGTGTTAAAAATATTTAAAGCATTCACCTTCTCCAATAAGTTAGTTACGTTATACTGTTTCACTTTTCGAAAGTCAAATTATGTGAGCTAACTTTGACAAATTAACATGAGAAAAATTACAACTTATGTAGTAAGTGATACTACTTATCATATAATATTTGAATACTTGGATTTTAAATACTATAAAATATTGAGTTATTTTAATCCAATTTAACTTCGAAAATGAATCATATGAACTTTTGTAAAAAGCAAACGTGCAAATAATTTGGGATAAAGGGAGTAATTTTAGTGCGAAAAATGCAACTAGAATATTTTTTTTCTTTACCCCTCTCGGAAGATCCCACCTTTTGGATAGGAGTTGAGAGGTGTTTATCATTCGAGTAACTCCCTCGTATCAATACAACTAATTAAAGTAGAGAAATTAAGAAGAATAAATTCAGCACTGCAATAACACACCTGGCAGCTTCAACTTCAGTATCAAATAGGCCTAAATAAACATACCTGTTCCAAATAAAAAATTAAAAAAAAAATCAATAATTTCACTCTTTGAAACATTTATTCAATAATCTTGGAGAATAAAATGAGAATAATTATTTACTTTTTGCCTAAGAATTGTCCCATTCTAGCTTCCCATCTACCACATTTATGCAAAGTGACTCCTCTATACTTGGAACTTCCTCTTGGAAAACCAGTACTTTGTCTCCTTAGTACATGCACAAATTCTTCCTTGGTTAAATTGCTCATCTGATACACCAAAATATACATAAAACAAATTATGCACAAACAAAAATAAAATGTCAAATGTTATATATATGCTTCCAACTAAATATTCACACCAAAAAATGTGAAACAAAAACTACTGTTTATGATAAGCCAAATAGTGAAAGTGAAGTATTCCAATCAGACACACACAACAAAAACACATCTAGATGCTTTTTTAGCGTCTTGTCTCAAAAAATTATTTTAAAAACGACTTTAAGATAATAACTATTAGTTGAATGGCCATCTGTGAAATTATAATTTCATATACAGGAGATTATTGATTTTTTCTTTTATCAATCTTAATATCTTTAAAATTAAACTGATCAAATTTAAATTTTGAATGCATAACTTACCTGTTTTAAGTCACCTTCGTAATCCTCCAAGGTAAAGTTTATGTCCGCCTCCGCTCCCCGGAACTTGATTGCTGCCCTATCATATGCACTGTGTCATACATTCCAAAACCTTCAGTCTCTCCACATTTAAAAAAAAATAAAATGTGTACGGTACCATAGAAAACAAAATATTTCTTGCAAAAAATTCAACTTTTTTGTGTTCCATTTTCAAAAAATAAAAAATAAAAAAATGACTTTCATCATATCAAACACTCAAAAATTACAAAAAGTTACAAGAGAAGAATTGAAAATCTCACCGAGCTGCTGCATGTGCTGTATCAAATCCACCTATACCAGATGATATTAAACTTATTATCTTCAAGAACACCAGTAACAATAAAAAATTTAAAAATGAAATAAATTAAACATACCTAAATAAACTTGTTTCCCACAATCCCTAAACGAAATTATAAAAAAGAATTATTAATTTCGAATAGACAATATTTTCAAAAAAATAAGTTGAGTTATATCAATAGTATAAGTCGATTTAATGTGATAGTATTGAAAAGTAACACAAACCATATATGCGATTCCCACCGGCCAGTCCTCCGGTAAAAGGTAACACCACGGTACTGTGAACTTCTTGAACGTGGTCCACGGCGACTTTTTTTAATTGGCTGATGTTGTGACACCTCAATTGGGTTACCCACTAATCCGGTGACAAGTGGCGGTTCCGATTCACAAAATTTAATTCCAGCCCATTGTGCTCTTGGCAAATTGGTGGACTCATTATCCACCGGGAAAAATTGCCGGGTAACTTTCGGCGGTTCCAAATTGTCGTCGTTATCAGAAAAACCGAATAATTTACCTGGTGTACTACTTTTCATTTTTTTACCTCTTTCACCGTCTTCTTCTGATGAATTACCGTCCTCTACAACAAGTACAACGGATGAACTTGAATTTGATACCGATCTCACCGGTATACCTTCATCAGATTCATCCTCCATTATTTGATCGGGGGAATCATTTAAATTCCACATTTTTTTTTGTTGTATAATAAAATGGGTTTGTCGATAGAACCAAAATGAGTCTATTTTCGAAAAGTTGTAGATTTTTAGTTGCAACGTGACCTATATTGATGTGTGAAATGAAGAAAAAAAATGAACTTTTTTTTTGTGTAAATATTGAAAGAAGATGGAACTTATAACTTATAGAGAAGTTGAAGTTGTTGGGGAAAGTTTTATTTTATAAAAAAAAAGAAAAAAGAGAGAGATGATGGATATGTGATGTCTACTTAGTATTTTACTAGATCTTGTTTGTGCTATTTCACCTATTTAGCTGCCCAAATACAGAAATAGACGAGCCTAGTTTAGGAAGAATAAGCCCAAAGCAGCCTATACCAACGTTAACCCTTCCCCCCACACCTTAGTTTCTAGATCCCTATTATCCAACCCAACTTTGTTCTTTTTCTAACGTGTTGTGTCAAATTGAGTTGGTTGAGTTTGAAATCTCTCAACTAGAGGTATTGAGAGGGTTTTAGATTCAAAATTTCCTTTACGTTTTTTCGATTTAGTTTATTATATGAAGGTTGTTTAGTACACTTTACCAGTCTTCATTTGTAGTCCGTAGGCTATTATACTAGATCATGATTTATCTTACGTGTATTTGAAGGATATTGACATTTTACGTGACAATATTTAATTTTGATATGATACCAATTTTTTTCTTAAAAAGGAAAAAGAGGAAAACATTTTCATCATGTGTGACGAGTATTTTTTCTATTTAAATTTATGTGTTTAGGTTAATTGAATACAAAAAAAAAATTAAAAAAATTTGTTGTACTATATTAGCATATTCTTTGAAGTATATAATTTTAAATATTTCATGTGAAATGTAAAAAATGTCACTCTTTTTTAATTGAATTAAAAAAATACACTGATAAAAGGGAAAATTGTATGAAATAGCAAATTATTAATTCAAATTAAATGTTATAGCCATAATTTATTTATTTGTAATTCGCAGCAAATATCTCAATTTTTTGTCATCTGATTCGGTATACAATTAGCCATTTTCGATATACAATTAGTCATTTTATACATTTCGGTATAAAATGCGTTTATGTTTATATAAAGCGAGAGAAAAGTATATATACAAATATAAATACATATATTTTCGTTCTATACACTTATAAATACACAAATACAGATCTTATTATACAAATTACAGTGTATAAATGAATTTATACAAAGCTAAACAATTTATATAAAATTGGATGTATCTAGCGAATTATACAAATCAAAAGCTCCATAGCAAACATAAAATTTGTTATGGAGCGCAATTATGCAAATTATAGTCTATAGCTATAACATACAAATATAATTTTTATATTTATTTTATGTGAAATTCTTATATTTGTTTTATGTGAAAGTTGCTCTAGATAAAAACATACAACTAAGGATAAGATATAAAATTTGAAGTGAAATTGTATAACAAACTATAATTCTTTTTTAGGGATGGACATTCGATTTTTCAACTCACTTAATTAGTCATTTCTTATATACTCTCCTCTTGTTTCTTAGACCCAATTTTCTATTTCTCTACATATACTAATGTACTAATTAGTATTTATGACTCTACATTTCACCTTTCTCTTTTTACTCTTTTTTTTTGGTACATTGAAAAGGATTTCTCTTTATACTCTTTGGTGAAAGGAAGACTTTGTATTTTTTATATTTTCTTATAGGTCAATGAATGTAAAGGTTAAAAAATAAAAATAAAATTATTGAAATATATAACAAAAAAAGAAAAGAAGAAGAAGAAGAAAGAAGCATCTTTTTCTTACGCAACTTTACGACGTTAACCAAATCGAAAAGCATCTCTTTTTATTTCCTTTTTACATTTTTTTGTACTTCCTTTTTATGGAAAATTGAAAGCACCATAGATGACTTATTACCTAATTACTTTTATTAGCTATAGTAATTATCATTTCTTGTTTAAGGAAAAATGTTAAATTTGTCTTTATATTATTCGTGTTTAATTAATTTTATTATATGTTACGTGTTTTATTCGTTCATTCTTTAATTAGTCGTTATTTACTCTTTTTATTAGCTCCAACATGATATGAGTAAACAGTTGAATTAAAAAAAACTTAAAATTTTCAAGAAGTTCTACGTTTTTCAAAGTAATTAATTGAGGGTATAATAGGTAAAAAACATTTGTCCTTTTTTAATTTGTCAAAATGGACAAGTAATTAAGGACAACTAAAAAAAGAAAAGTGAGCATGTTATTAGGGACAGAAGGAGTATAATATGAATATTTATAATCAACATTCTATATGATGTTACTAGTTATTCCGGATACAATGACATTAACTTAATTGGTGCAAAAATATTAATGGCTATGTAAAAGGAATATATTATATATATTGCCACTTTATTCTCTTTTGCTACCGTGCTTCCTAGACTACACTTATAAAATTACATTAGATATTATTGTTGTTGTACTTCTCCCGTCTCAAAATAATTATCGTCCTTAGAAAAATTATCCGCTTTCAACTACTTATTGTCATGTAAGAAGTATAATTAAACACCATTTCTGATTAAAGAAATGTAAATAAAACACACAAGATATTTTGAGACGCAAAATGTATTAGATTTTCTGGTTGACTGCTGGATTTATTATAGTAGGCTGCAGTAGAATTGTTTTTTATGTTGTTTTTACCATTTGGGTACAGAAGAAAGGTAAATTAGGAATGGAGAGGGGTAATTTTGAGAAAAGAAAATAATTATTGGTAGTGGGGTTTGATTTTCATAAAAAGGAAAGTGGAATAATAGCAATAAAAGGAAATACTTTCCAGAATAGTCCAATCCAAGAGTACGGGAGTAGGACCCACCTTTTTTCCTCTTTTCATCGACCAATGACTTTCTCACATGTACCTCGTAGTATTATTTATTAACATCCCAAAATTTTCACCACTCTCACACTTTCAAGCGCGTGATCTCACCTTTATAACTCGTTTGGTATCGAAATGAGATAGATAAATTTATTCCATGCGGTTAGGGGTGTCAATGGGGCAAATTGAGTCAAATTTGAATGACTCATAATAAGTTAAGACAATAATCGAGTTAAGATTCAAACCAATTCAAATTGGGTTTGGGTTAAAATGAGTTAGGTCAAAATAAGTTAGGCAATAGCTTACATTATGGGTCAAGACTCAGCCCAACCCAATTTTTATTAAGTTTGATTGTTTAATTTGTTATTTTTAATTATTTTAGTACCTAATAAAATTATTATTATTTCTTTATTATGACTATATACAACAAATAAATTGAAAAATATTTTTTTTAAAAATATTTCTACGAGATTTTTTTTGAGTCAATTCGAGTTACATATCAACCCAATTTTTAATGGGTTGAAATGGATTGAGCTAATGAATGAAGGGGTCAATAATCAATCCAAACTTAAACGGGATGGGAGGATTTGAACGGGTTAGATTTGATTTTGCCACCCCTACATGCGATGAATAATTTTGGGATAAACTAATTACTCTAATCGAACATAAGGTAATATAATCTTACATTTTATTCTGAAAGTATTGTCTGTTTTTTCTCATACCAAACACCTCCTTAGAGTTCTTGCCTCCACAATTTTCACCAATAAAATTAACAGCTTTCCACAGTAAAATAATTATCGAATTGAAAAAAAAAATGTTATTGATTTATCAATAGTTGAGTGGATTGAATGACTTTTTAGATAAAATGTCAGTAACTAAGCGATATTTAATTTATAAAATAAATTTAAGTGGCTTCTAAAAGAACTATCGTTAATTGAGTGATTATACAAGATATTACCGTTCTGAAATGCAAATTTTGTTATTTTCAATCTATCTATGCTTGGTGCAATTATGAGGGTTGAGATATTTATTAGATTTGATTGTACTTTCTTGAATATTTGATCTAATTTCTTCTTTTCTCCGCAATTTTCATTAAATGATTGTGCCTTGAAAAATAAATAGAGTGATGATCTAGATAGCAATAGGTGATTGTAAAATAGTAAATATATGTAGTTAACAAATTAAGGTATAAATTACAATCTATCCCTTAAAAGTTTATAATTACAGAAATTCCTTAAACATATACAATAATATAAGTGCTGATACATTAATCTGATGCGCGAGATACATTAATCGTTAAGTAAGATACATTACATTTTATACATAATATACTAATCTGATGTGCATTTTATACATGATACACTAATCTGATGCGCGAGATACATTAATCTGTTGCCCAAAAATGAGAGATTTTGGAGATTTGTAAAACTTATAGGAGATAATGATAATAAGTAAACTAAAAGGTGGAGTTTCTATAATTTTTCCCAATAAAAGGGAGGTGGATAGCACCAGAAGAATAAGGGTGTGCATATGATAGGTAGCTAGATTAATAGACAAATTCACAGATACACACATTAATTATTCTTCACATCCTCCAACAATGTTACTCCCTATTTCCTCTGTCCTAATTTATATGAATTGACGTGTATATAATAGATAATTATTAATCACTTTATTAGATATAAAATTGATATTTAAAGTTAAGTTGTTATTAATATAGAATGCGCCTTATTTAGATTAACTAAAAAGGAAAACAAGTTATATAAAGTGAGATATGTATAGTATAATTAAGACGAGTTTGGCACAATGATTTTAATGTCCTTTTAATTTTTTAAATTAAAAATAATTATTGATTCAAAAAATGAAAAAAAAAAAAACATTCAAAGGTGGATTCATTACTTGAAGTTTATAGATTTTTGCAATAATCTCAAATTAATTTATAACAATAACTGAATTTACAATCTGATGAATTATTCATCAAAAATCAATGAAACAATAACTTAAATGTAAGAGAATGAAGAGGAGAGTAACCGAGATAGGCGAAAGAGTAAGTCATACAATTTTATTCAATGTGTTAACTAAGAATTTGCACAAGCTTGTCTATATATATATAGAGAGAGAGAGTCAAATATACTCTTTACAATGCACTTAACTACTCAATTTCCTAACTGACTTTGTATTCACAAGAACCTACTAGATTATCTAGATCATTTTATATCCTTAACA